AAATGTATAACTGTTTTGTTTACAATCTAAGGACCAAGATTTGTCATTGAATCCAAATTTACATTCATTCCCCCCTGCTCTGCTGATATTCTTGTATGCGACTGCTACAAAAACTCCTCCCCCTCTCCACTCCACCTCCCAGTAACAACGTCCAGTCAGACTCTCTCTACTCAGGACCTGAGAATATACAGTGAATCTGTCTGGGTGATTAGAATAAGACTGTGGTCCCATGTATGTTGCTTTTCTGCTCCCCTCAGATAATACCAGCTGTGTGTATGCTGTGTTTGGATCCAGTGTGATTCTCTGAGAATCAGTGTTGTAGTCAAGTCACCAATTCACGATTCCAAGTAATTCTCGCGTCCCCACTTTTCGAGTCCAAGTCCAAGCGGAGTCGAGTCCGAGTCCATGTCCGAGTCACCCAAAGAGTTTCCGAGTGGAGTCCGAGTCATCATTACCTGTGTTCGAGTCCGAGTCCAAGTCAGAGTCACCCAAGAAGAATCCAAGTCAAGTCCGAGTCACAAGTCTTCATGTATTAATCTTCATGGATATATGTGTTGAAATGTAGCTATAGCTCCTCTACATTGCTTTTATCCTGTCAATGTATACTAATGTGTCTATTGAACTGCTGTGAAGCCAGTTTGGCTACAATTCTTGTATAAAAAGTGCTATACAAATATAAAGCTTATTAATAATATTAATATTATTATTATAATTATCATTATTTGTATTATTGTAAATTGCCTTTAATATGTCTAACTATATTTAAAATGAGTTACCTTTTAGAGAAGTGATTATATTTGTATGCCAATATTTTCTTTTGGTAAAGTTTTAATTTTGCACTTTTATTTTGATAGTAATAAGATCGGGACTCTTATTTTTGAAGGAACTTTTACCGGAAGTCAATGGACAACGGAGCAGTGTAAACCATAGATATATAGAGAGGCGAAGTCCCTCCCCTTCCGGGGGAGCTCCATGGGACCTTATTTCGGAAAAGTTATGCATTGAAGTCAATGGAGAGAGAAAGATTATCCTTCGATCCCGTTTGAATTGTGCCACGAATTACACATATGATGTTTGTCAATTTAAAAGATAATTTTGCAAGTCAAAAAAATAAAAATGTGTCGTAAAACTGTGAAGTAACACTTTTTTTTGTGTGAAACCGCTCAATGAACTACATCTCCCGTCTCGCACCACACACCAAGACGGCCGTCACGTTGGCACATTTCACTTCTTTCTTTCAGAATGAGGCGGAAAGTATTAAAAGAGGTGGAAATCACTCCAAGTCTGGGCATGTTGAGAGCTGTACATACACACAAGGGGAGTTAGTCGGTTCCTAAGAGCCAGACCGGGATTCTGGGATTTGTAGTCTTTCTAGTTGCCTATTTTTCATAGTCTTATATTTCAACAGTTTTACGACAAACTGTGACTTTTTTGACATGGAAATGATTTTTTAAGATTGACAAACATCATATGTGTAATTCGTGGCGCAATTCAAACGGGATCAAAAGATAATCTTTCTCTCTCCATTGACTTCAATACAAACTTTTTCCGAAATAAGGTCCCATGAGTCCCACCGGAAGGGGAGGGACTTCGCCTCTCTATATAAACACTAGATGACTCACCTGCGCTGCTGGCCAATGGAGACCGACGTTGCCACATGGCGGCCATCTTGCCACAGGCAGCTCGCTCATTCATAACATTATGTCTATGGTGCACTATTGAAATAACCGTAGATTGCTCAATTTTCAACCAATTTTCTAACGGTTTGGTTTGTTATAAACATCAAAGATGTAGTTATGATACTGCATACTTATAATTATAATCATGAACTTTTTTTTTTCAACATGTCTTGTTGTCTCCTGTATCATAGCCATGCTAATAACGTTTATAATAAACCAAACCGTTTGTAAATCAGACAAGATTTCAGCGAGTTAAGAGTATTTTTGTGCAGATCACTCACCTTACAACAGCTGTAGCAGTAGTTGTTGACTGTGGCAAGATGGCCGCCGGTGAGCTCCGCTGGCGACTCCCCCTTGAGCCATCTAGTGTTTATATATATCTATGGTGTAAACCATGGTGTAAACACACATACGTATAATGACGGATAGATGACGAATACATTAACATATACTAAATAGTTGCATTCGGTTTTTAGCACCTGGTTGATAAGGGCACAAGCTCTTACGTTGGTAATGATTGTATAAAAGCAAGGGTGTGCAATAAACAGATACCATTAGTTAGAGAGTCTGACCATCATTCAGCCGGGGATGCTACAATTATTATAGTGAATGTTTAAATTCTATCAATAAAGATTAAGCCCCAGAAAATGCAAAATGACGACTTTCTACGTGTTAAGTAGCCATGTGCTTTTGTGTTATCGGCTGAATCTTTATTAGATCACATTACTCTGATGATAGTGTTCAAGACAGCCTATATGTCTGAACTCCATCCTTAGAGTAATGTCTTATGGAGCCTTCTCTTCAATCTTTTTTCCACATAACGAGCATTTTGAGCTGCTCTTTCCCAATGTCGGGACAGAGTACATCCAGACTCCAGACAAAACTTGCTCAAGTCAAAACGTCAATGTACAAGTCGAGTCTGAGTCATCGTGGGTGAAAAATTCACGAGTCCGAATCATATTGGGTTAAAAATTCACGAGTCCGAGTCCGAGTCATCGTGCGCGAGAATTCACGAGTCCGAGTCGAGTCCGCGTCAAATAGTGTGCGAGTCCGAGTCGAGTCAGGAATCCCGAAAATCGGCACTCGAGTCCGACTCGAGTCCGAGTCCAGGTCTCGAGTACTCCATCTCTGCTGTGAATATTTTAAGAACCCAGCTCTGGTGGTGGGCTCTGCTGCTGACAGCAAAACATCCACTTCAGACGATGAGACGTTTGTCCATTCCTCTCTCAGGACGTCCTGTAGTTTGACTCTGACTGCTGACAGGGCCGCCTTCACGTCCTTAAAGTAGCGCAGAGGACGGATGTTGATGCTGGAAGAGTGTGTAGGTTCACTGAGGGCTGACAGTGAGGGGTAGCTGTGCAGAAACTGGTTGTGATCCTCTGTGTGAGACAGCAGCTTCAGCTCAGCGTCTCTCCTCTTCAGCTCAGAGATCTCCTGCTCCAGCTTCTCCTGAAGCTCTTTGACTCGACTCACTTCACTCTTCTGCTGGGATCTGACCTGCTGCTTCACATCAGAGCTTCTTTTCTCCATGAGACGAATCAGCTCAGTGAACGTCTTCTCACTGTCCTCCACTGCTTTATCAGCAGAGCCATTGACGGCCTCCACCTCCTGCTGAAGCAGCTTCACCTCCTTCTCTCTGTCCTGGATTCTCTGCTGGATGTTTTGTCGACTCCCCTCCAGCTCTCTCTGCCTCTTAGTCCTTTCTGCTGCAGCTGACACTGTGTTGTGGCCCTTATGTTCGTCCACAGAGCAGAGATAACAGATACACTGCTGATCAGTGCGGCAGAACATCTTCATCACCTCGTCGTGACGAGAGCAGATGTTCTCCTGGAGCTTCTTGGAGGGCTCCACCAGCTTGTGTTTTTTTAATGGAGTTGCGTCATAATGAGGCTGGAGGTGTTTGTCACAATAAGAGGCCAAACACTGCAGACAGGACTTACAGGCTCTCAGTTTCCTCCCAGTGCAGACATCACAGGCCACATCTTCAGCTCCAGCATAGCAGTGATCAGCAGGAGCAGCTTGGAGTCCAGTCTTCTTCAGCTCCTCCACTAAAGCTGCTAACATGGTGCTTTTCAGCAGGACAGGCCTCGGTGTGAAGCTCTGCCTACACTGAGGGCAGCTGTGGATTAGCTCTCCATCCCAGTGGTGTTTAATACACTTCATGCAGTAGCTGTGTCCACAGGGAATAGTCACCGGATCCTTCAGTAGATCCAGACAGATCGAACAAGAGAAGGTTTCCCGGTCCAGCTGAACTCCTTTCTGTGCCATTTCACCTCTAAGTAGCAGCGAGCGTCTGAGCTGAAACTAGTGTGAGCTGTGATCTGAACAGCATGTGTGTGTGCAGTGAATATGGCTCTTGGACTTTCCCTGCATGTTGGTTACACCCATCCTCCTCATTGTGTATCTAAAGGGGAGAAACCAGGAAATACAGAGTGGAGCTGGCTGTGTCTGAGAGCAGGAAGAAGAGGGAGGGCTTATCTGATTCATTCCAGGAGGTTCAAGGCTTTTATTAGTCATACGTGCATAGCTACAGTGTAGTTATGACGATGGAAATCTTAGGTCACAGGCTCCTCCAACAGAGCAACACAATAAAACAGAAAAACAGATAAAATACTGCAAGTAAATACGAAAAATAAAAAATAAATAGTAAAATAGTGAAATAGTGCAATAAGAGTCTATATACAAGTGATTGGAAAATGATATATTAGCCTGTTAAACCCCACGGACCCTTCGGCGGGTCCGAAAATGCGACATATTTTACCACCAGTGTGATCTCTGAAGTGTCATTTATGAAACTATTAATGTTCCACAACCAGCTGACGGGAAAAAATTCAGCTAACTGACACACACATCTTTTTTTCAAAAATTGAAAAATAAATTCCCACAAGAAGCCTTTCAATGAGCCCTTAGCAAAGACGGACTAATGCTATTTCTGCTCATAACTCACAAAAACGATCATTTATAATTAATATTTTCTGCACAAACAACACATCAACTGAAAGCTGAGATTCCACAGATTCCATGGGTATACACCCCATCACTGCAGGCAAGAATTCACTGAGCTAGCAGCCAGAACATAGCAAATAAACAACATCAGTTTTCAAATCCATGACAATAATTAGGTCTTACCTTGGCTCTTTTGTGATCAAAGGTTGTGTTCAACGGAATAAAAACGCTGCTCAAGGTTAATCCAATGTCTCTTAGTCACTTTAGAATTGTTCCTGATAATCAATCCTTTCATTCATGGCAGAAAAGTAGGTACAAAGATTAGGAGTCGGTGGCTTCAGCTGCTGGACATGCAGTTTACGCATAGCTCCCCCTCCCCCGCCGTAAAGTATTTACGTATTTTCCAACTGCCACTCGATTCTATTGGCTCTAACGATTCAAAAAAGGTGTAAATCACGCAAATCGACCAATGGGTTCCAGAGATAGGGTCCTGCGTAAGTGTACATCAGGCCAGTATATGCTGCTTACCCACAGTCCTGCTACGTTTTTGACGCAGCAGAACCACATTGAGAGGAGCGCAGAGAACGGCAGATCAGCGGCACAGCGAGACAGCAGGATTAGCAGCGAAACAGCAGGATTTGTTTTCTTTCTTCATTTGAACAATGGCAGCCAGAAAGAAGACTTTATTGTCCATCCAGGAGGCATTGGAACTGGTATTTGAGGACTCTCCGTCGGAAGATAGTGATCTTGTCACGCATCAAGGGGACAGTAATGACTCCGATTATGAAGTTCCACCAACGGAAAGGTATGTAATCTCTCTGTTTGTATCTATTACTTATTTATTTGGTGTAAGAGTATTCATCTGTTTTTATCTTTTAGTTATTTATTTGGTGTTAGAGTATTCGTCTATAGTAATTTCACACATGTAACAATAACACAACGGCATCCATCTTGTGATATAATGTTATTTCACACACACTCAACAACAAACAAATAAAATGGATGCCGTTTATTGTTCAAAGACTAGAAATAAACAAGACAGTAGAAAATATACATGTTGAATTTAACACGGTATTATATATATATATATCAAATATACAAATCAGAGATGGAGTACTCGAGTCCTGGACTCGGACTCGACTGCCGATTTTCGGGACTCGTGACTCGACTCGGACTCGCGCATTGATTGACGCGACTCGGACTTGGACTCGTCAATTCTCGCGCGATGACTTGGACTTGGACTCGTGAATGTTCCCCCCCACGATGACTCGGACTCGGACTCGTACATTGATGCTCCGACTTGGACTCGGACTCGAGCAAGTTTTCTCTGGAGTCTGATGTCCTCTATCCCTGCGTGTGCACCTGCGAGGCGAGTTCACTACTGGGCCCCGCTATTCCAGTCTAAAGATGTCTAGAGACACACCCCGCATCGTGCTGTATGCTTTCACACATTCTGCTTTCACATTGGAAAAGAGCAGCGCAAAATGCTCGTTATGTGGAAAAAATATTGAAGAGAAGAGAAGGCTCCGTAACACATTACTCTAAGGATCTAGTTCAGACATATAGGATGATAGAACACTATCATCAGAGTAACGTGATCTAATCAATAAATAAAGATTCAGCCGATAACACGAAAGCACATGGCTACTTAACATGCAGAATGACATCATTTTGCATGCTAAGTAGCCATGTGCTTTCTGGGGCTCAATCTTTATCGGTAAACCGATTTAACCGGTAAAAGTTCCTTCAAAATAAGAGTCCCGATCTTATTACTATCAAAATAAAAGTGCAAAACGAAAACGTTACCATAGGAAAATATTGGATTACAAATATAATCACTTCTCTAAAAGGTAACTCATTTGAAATATATTTAGACATATTATGGGTCATTTACAATAATAATAATAATATTAATATTAGTAATAAGCTTTATATTTGTATAGCACCTGTTACAAGAATTGTAGCCAAACTGGCGTCACAGCAGTTCAATAGACAGATTAGTATAACATGACAGGATAAAAGCAATGTAGAGGAGCAGCTACATTACAACACATATATTCACGAAGATTAATACATGAAGACTTGTGACTCGGACTTGACTTGGACTCTTCTTAGGTGACTCGGACTTGGACTCGGACTCGAACACAGGTAATGATGACTCGGACTCGGACTCGACTTGGACACTCCTTGGGTGACTCGGACTTGGACTCGGACTCGAACACAGGTAATGATGACTCGGACTCGGACTCGACTCGGACACTCCTTGGGTGACTCGGACTTGGACTCGGACTCGAACACAGGTAATGATGACTCGGACACGGACTCGACTCGGACACTCCTTGGGTTACTCGGACTTGGACTCAGACTCGACTACGACTCTCCCTTGGTGACTCGGACTTGGACTCGGACTCGAAGAGTGGTGACTCGAGAGTGACTTGGACTCGTGAATTGGTGACTTGACTACAACACTGATACAAATACATAAATATATAAAATATACAAATATATATATATATAAAATATACACATACATATATATATATATAAAATATACATATATAAATCTATATATATAAAATATACACATACATATATAAATATATGACGGACGGAATATTAATATTAAATATTGAACAGATTATATTGATATAATCTGTTCCCCCGTCTCACATAATTTACATGGTATACATTTTGAGTGATATACTGTTATTTCACACACTCAAAATTGATGTTCTGCTGTTGTTGTAGTGAATTCATCTATTTGTTTTTTCCACATTTGTTTTCACAGTGCATGCAGCCTTCAGTGGACAGACTGTCAGGCGGAACGTGAAAGAGCGTGGTGTGTGGCAGACTAAGAATGTTACCGTTCCTGACGCTGTGGTGGACTACAACAGAAGCATGGGCGGTGTGGATGTGTCCGACGCTTTGATTGGATACTACAGTGTTCGTCACAAAACGATGAAATGGTACAATACTTTTTTTTACCATTTTATGGACATTTCCGTGGTGAACAGCTTCCTTCTCCACAAGGAGCTGCACAAGAGGAGGGGTGACCCCGCCAGGGAGAAGCCACTCACACAGAAGTCCTTCAGGGAGCAGCTTGCTAAAGAAATGGTTGAGTTTTCTGGAGTCCCTGCAGCAGCACCACCCCGCCCACCAACCCCCCCACCATCACTGACATGCATGCCCGAGCATTATGGGGAAGATGCCACCACGGTCAGGAGGTACTGCAGGAAGTGCTCTGATGCTGGCAGCAGAAGGGTGAAGACACCTGTGTACTGCAGGAAGTGTCAGGTCCCTCTGTGCTTCACTCCCAAAAAGAACTGTTTCAGGGCATGGCATGACTTACTGGAATAATACCATAACATTCAGGGTTGGTTTGTATAAAGTTTTTACCTAAAGTGTGGTGTTATTGTGTAGTGTGTTGCTAACTTTTTTTAAATAAATCTGCTCCAGTTGGAGTCAAATGTTTCCTATGTTTCCTAATTTTTATTGTGCAAGTAAACATGCATCTCCTGCAAAGAGGGAACTTCCCACACACCCACACACACACACACCCCCCCCACACACACACTCCACACACACACCACCACCACACACACACCCCCCACACACACACACACCCCACACACACACTTAAATATTTTATTTATTTTTTAAATTTTACAATCATTTTACAATTTTTTTTTTTTTTTTTTTTTTTTTTTTTCTTTTTTTTATGTAATGAATACCTATAGTGATGATTCAATATTATAAAATGATTTTTACTGTCTGGTACCTGAAAAAGGTCAAATGGCACTGATGGAACCAGACGTGCCCAAATGTGCCCAAAGCTTAGTCCGCCTGGACTTTTTTTCCCTAAATATCTCTAAAAAGGTCAATTTTCACTTGTTTTGCCTCAATCTTGATACAGGGTACTTATTATATGTTGTACTTTGGATTCCTAAAGCTTTTAGTCTACCTTACCATCATCCAAGGGTAGTTTTCACTATAAGTAAAAAATAATTTTTGGACGGACACTATAATTTACAGTTTTTTACTATGTTCAATCTGAATTTTCTTTAAAAATAAAAAACATCTATATTGATTCTGACTTTTCTACATCCAACTCACAGGTTTATCATTACTTTGAGAAAAAAGATTATTAATTTACCCATTTTAGAAGTGTAGTTATGGTCATTTGTTCTGGGAATGTCATTTTCGAGCCTGATACCTGGAAAACAGGCTCGGGGGTCAACAGGTTAATAAGCACCGTAACTTTCATGATATCATTTATCGGTCATAATCGGTTGTTTCCGTAAACGGCCGAATGTTGTGTGACGGCAAATGCTGCGGCTGCAAGGCATTGTGGGGCAGCATTTTCTCCTCTCCTTTCGTAAAGGGAGGTCCAGTGGTTCCTAAACTAAAGGAGGTTATAAAGGAAGTTTGAAACCTCCTTTCCTTTCATTTAGAGAATTCCAACGGCTCTTATCATGGCTGCCACTGAGGGACTTCCGGGTCATTTCACTCCGTTAGGAAGGTTCCTAAGCTAAATGGACTATTCGACTGCAACCCAGGAAGAAGAGGGAGGGCGTATCTGATTCATTCCAGGAGGAGGAGCAGCGCTGACACTCTGAACTGTTTCCTCATTTACAAACGGAGCCTCGCTTACAACCTGCTCTACATTTGAAAACAGTCTTCAGCTGTAAAATATTTCTTGTCCTCACTCATGGTAGCAGTGATGTAAGAAGTACTCAGATATTCTACTAAAGCAAAAGTAGAAATACTAAGGTGTAAACATACTGTATTACAAGTAAAAGTACAAAAGCATTGGTATCAAAATATTAGAGTACCAAAAGTAAAAGCACTCCTTATGTATAATGGCCCTTTTCAGAATCGTATATATATATATATATATAGATATATATATATATATATATATAGATATATATTGAGTTACTGGGTAACTATAATGATTATTGATGTGTTTTATCACAGTTAGTAAATGTAGAGCTAATTGTAATAACTTGATGTCCTGCTGCTGGCTATCTTAACCTATAAATACCTGTCAAAGTGTAATTAATATAACACTACCCAACACAGATCCAACAACACCTGTAACAACAATGTTGTAAAATAAAACTGTGCAATATATACTTTTATACTAGGGAGTATTATCATTCTGCAGCTACTTCATTACTTTCTACTTGTTCCACTTATTATTTTATAATGCTGCTACATACCTTTTTTATACTTGATTTAAAGGAAACCTATCATGCTATATTTAAATGATATATTGTAGGGCCATACCTATATAAGGTATATTTATACGTTTCTGTTTTCAAAATACCAAACAGATCATGCATTTTAGCCATGCCTCATTTCGCTCTATGTGCTGTTTGCTGTCTACGGGTCTGATTCTGCTGACCACGCCCCCCTGCAGGAGAGGGGAGACGTGCTCTGATCAGCTGCTGGGCTGTCAGAAGAGGGGGAGAAAAAGAGATCTCTGTCCTCGTGTTTTATTATATAGAGTCGTTATTCATTTGTTTTAAAGCTCAATAAATAACAAAGAAGACCTTTGACCGGCACTTTTCTAATTTTGTCCGGAAGATTTAAACTTTAACGGACATCTTGACCGGCGAAACAAACTGAAACTGAAACTCTGCCGCACGGTCCCCTCGTTCCTTGGAAGAGGCGTAGAGGTGGGTGTTTGTCATCTGCTGGTGGACTAACCGGAGAGAATTACAGTGCTTGCCTCGACGGGGAGGGATTGCATTGCAGCGGGAGCAAACGCTTGCCTCGGGGAGGGAGAAAGAAAGCCACAGCGGAGAATAAACAGAAGGGTAACCATGGTAACCAAGTCTTCTTCGCTGCTTTTGTGGCAGAGTACAGCGCCACTTACAGGCCTGGCATATGTACTACAGCGTCTCCAGCGCTTTCGAACGGCAATGGCCGTGGTTGTCTCCTCCTGATTGGTGGAGTTGGCCCAATAGCCGTAGCGCCACTGTCCTGACGTCAGTAAAGTGTTCAAATCTGGATCAGTTTTTATCAGATCCGTTGCAGCCCCTTTTTTAGAGATTTTGGTATGGAGGAAAATAGAGAGGGTTGTGTTTTCTGACACTTGGTGAGATCCCTGGAACACCGGGGACACATATTCATGTATAAAAGACGTACAAAGTGCATTTTGCATGATAGGTCCCCTTTAAATGTTTCATTTGTGTGCTCACTTTACTAAATACTGTCACTTTACTAAATACTATTTTTATTTTGTCTTTATCAGTACTGTCTCTTTGCTGTAACTATGCAATAAAGGAATTCTGATTCTGATTAACATACGATGAAGACGGCTCATGATTTATGCTTGTTTCATGTTTGTCACTCAGTGTTCTGGTTTCCTGTGTGATTCAGCATCACCTTCCTCATTCTGTTTCTGTCACGATCTGTCTGTGTTGTGTTTTGTCTTGTCTTTTTCTGTCTTTGGTTTCCTGTTTTATTTTGAAAAGTGTTCACCCCCCTGTCTTGCCTGTTGCTTTCTGTCTGTTTTCCCTCCTACCTGATTACCCGATTGTGTTCACCTGGTGCCCCTGTGTTTTCTCCTCCCTCCTCACCTGTGTCTTGTTTGTGTGATTAGTCTTGTGTGTATTTAAGTTCTGGTTTTTCTGTCTGTCATTGTTAGTTCCTTGTTTGTCTATGACTGTGTTCACTGGGTAGTGTCCTGTTTGTCACCTTGTAAACCTTGAAATAAAGGTATTTTCTGTGTAATCTGCATTTGGGTCCTGCCTGCTTCACTCAACCCTGACAGTTTCAATGTTTACTCCGTAACTCTCAAAGCTCATTCTCTTCTAGGTTAACAGACAGTGGCGGCGCCAGGGTATGGCTGGGGTGGGCTACAGCCATACCAATAAATGGCTTAGCCCCACGGCCCCACCTTGAAAAATTATGTTAAAGGAGAGGTGTCATGGCCATTTCCACTGATCATAATTCCATTGTTGAGGTCTACTAAAATAGATTTATATTGTGCAATTTTCCAAACTCACATTGGTTTCTCATACAGCATCTCTGTAAACTACGTGTATTCACTGAATTTCACTCTCTGCCTTTAACGGCTCGTTGTAGCTCCAAAAGCTCCAGCCCCCACCCTCCCTGTGAGCACAGTGTGCTCTGATTGGTCGGGACGTTGTGAATCGCGCTGAGCTCCGTGGAGGTGTTGTTTCCTTTTTTAGGATACATAGCGAAACACAGCCAAACTCATCCTGAGCACACACAAACTCACAGCCGAAGTAAAAACAATAAGTGTGGCTTGATATTGAGTAAGAAAAAGGTTGATAAACGCTGTGAGAATGGGTCTGCAGTGAGAATGGGTCTGCAGAGAGAATGGGTCTGCAGAGAGAATGGGTCTGCAGAGAGAATGGGTCTGCAGAGAGGATGGGTCTGCAGAGAGAATGGGTCTGCAGAGAGAATGGGTCTGCAGAGAGAATTTTGCCGCGATCCCAACTGTCTGTTATCAGCCTGCAGCCAGGGAGGAGAAATCAGCTGAGCTGCCTGCTCCCTGCACACAGATGTGTGTGTGAGGAAGTCTGTGGATTGGTCAATTTGGACCAATCAGTGGGGGCTTAACGTAACGGCTCCGTGGACGTAACGTAACGGCTCCACGGATTGGTCCATTTCGTTCCGGGTACGGGTTGACATCATGCCGTACCCGGAAGAATCAAATGGACAATGACGTATCTCCAACGAGGCGTTTTGGGGAGGTATTTTCTGTGTTAGAGTTTTACTCGCTATAGGGTGTACTTTGAGGGTTTTGACTCTGCACACCGTTTACATGCATAAAAACCTTCATAACACACAAGGGGACGGGTAATAACCGGAAAAGCATGACCCCTCTCCTTTAAAGTAAGCAAATTAAATTAAATAATAAGCAAAATGCTAAATGTTGAGAACACGGCATTATAATATCAGCGCGGCCGCGGTCAGATCAAAATGCCTCCGAATACAATTTGAATAGAGTCAGACCTACAGCCAATCAGAGCAACGAAACGTTGGGTCTGCGTCATGCATTACTGATGAGATCAGTCGGAAACGCCATTCAGTATCCCCGTTGGATCTTCAACGTGTACTATCATACGTCACGTTCACAGTGATCCCTTTTTATTTACTACAAGACAAATGTGCCTTTTTATTTCATACAGTTCCATTTTGATTGACACAGGGAAATAATCTAAACCTCAAGTGTGGCGTTTCACTGTCAAGGGGGGCGATATAGCGTGTATGTAATTACATTGCAAATACTGACTTGAGCCCCACCACTGTATGGGTTAGTCCTACCATAGATTACCCAACAAAAATACTCTGGCGCCGCCACTGTTAACAGATGACAATTACATTTCTTGAATGAGATGGAAATAATGTTATCAATGACTGAAGGAGATACGCTGGATGTCATTATTAATTGAGTTCAGCTAAACCTACTTATTGCACAATACATGACATGT